TCTCTCTCTCTCTCTCTCTCTCTCTCGTGACGTTGCGTTGTATAATCTATGAACTCTCTTGCACACGGTTTATATGAGTCCATGTAGAAATGAGTCACCCCATAAATTTTAGTTTGGAGATGGATTTTTTGACTTAATTTTAAAAAAAACGTTTATATAGAGTGGAGGCTCTAAACAATCAAATCAAATTAGAGCCCGCCTAAAAAATTTCATTGAAAGAAGTTGTTTTGACAGTCTTCAAATTGATCATCTCGACATTAAGATCCATGGACATGAAAAAAATTGATTTCAAGTTTTGAAAATAGTGCATATTGTAACACATTTTTGGCTCATCAATTTTCAAAATTTCCAAATCTTCATAGATCTGTTCAATCTATACCATTTTTTAAGCTATAAATTTTATAATTAAAAAAGAAAATGTATTTGAAGCTAAAGGTTTTCAGTACTAAAATCACATTTCTCGACACTATTTGAAGGTGAGTTTTACTTTGATTGTTTAGAGCCTTAGCTCTATGCAAACCACACCCTAATTTTTAAGGAAATGTAATCTAACATGGAAGTCTATGAATAAATAAAGAAATTTTAAAAATTAAAAATAATAATTTTATTAAAAAATATTTATAGTTTCAATTATTTTTAGATAGACCACCTAATTGCAGTCAGCTTTAAGATGGATGCTTTATACGTAGAGGACTGCAAATGTAGAAATGCGGTCTCGGCTGCATGAATCAATTTTCCACTCAATTATCCTCCATTATTGGTAATTAGGGTGTACGCGGCCTCTCTTTCTTTCACATACACACTTGAGATCTACACGATCAAGAAATTAGAGCATGTTGAGGGGGGAATTTTTTTCATAAAAATAGAGAAATCAGGGAATAATGAAAGGAAAAATTGTGTAATAATGGACCAATTAGGAGCAATAACAAGAAAAATCTTCATAAAAATAGTTAAAATAGGGAGTAATTAGGAGAAAAACTTCATGCCTCTCCAAAAAGTTAGGACATCGTTTCTTAGAGTCCTAGGACTCATATGTAGAAGTGAGTCCCCTCTTAAAAGTTCTTTTTCTAAAATCGATTTTGAACCCAATTGTTTTAGGAATTTATAATCTCCAGCACGAAAATTATTATAGTTTATGCCAAAACTTACCATGAATAATGAATCTATGTTATTTGCTTATGCTAGGATGTTTCCATAATAGTAAGGGAATGACCAATTGATAGAGTAGAATGACAGAACAAGATTCATGTAGCCGACCCTAACTAGTTGAAAAAAAGCTATGACGATGTTGCTTATATAATACGATGATCATGTTAATAATAAATAAATTTTAAAAACTAAAAATTATAATTTAAAGACAAAAATATTTGGACCATTGATTTTAATTCTGTTTAGAGGGACCACTCATATGTGTCCATCTTCAAAATGGATGTCTTATGCCTACAAAGATGCAAGTGTAGGAATACATCCTTCCCCTTATGCAGATAACATTTTTCCTATTTATATATAACATCCTCAACAATATCAAAAGATGATTCATCGATAAAAACTATCTTATTAAAAAACATAATCTGGGAATTCAAATATGCCCTAAATCTACCCAACAAAAGATCAAATTTGGCTCCTCCTTTTCAATATGCCCAAATAGAAATATGATTCCCTATTTCTTTAAGCTTAAGAATATTGGAAAAGGAATGGAGGTAAACCATGCGAAAATTTGTATTTAAAAACTATAAAAACTAATAATAAACTATTTTTGAAGCATAACAATTATACTTAAAATTATGAATTATCAAAATTTTAAAAAAATAAAGCTGGTTTACTTTTTTAGGCCGAGGCAACCTAATTAAATGTATAAAGACTTGACATGAAAAAGAAAAAATTAGAAATATAAATTTTGAAGTGTACAAAAATTATTAAAAATGAGAAGATTTTAATAAAAAAGAGAATGATAGTTTTGTATATTTTTATAAATTTTTTTAACAAAACATAAAATCTAATATTTCAAAAACAAAAATTCAATTGCTTTCCTGATTGGATACCTAAAATCAGGAAAATCCAAATCATGGAAATGAGACCTATATTTCTATGATATCATTTTCTCCAAAAAAAAAGTTGATTTTTTGCATTTCCACAACATCCTTTCCATGCTACAGAAACTATGTTGCTCTCATTGGTTATAACCTAAACACAATCTCTCTCTCTCTCTCTCTCTCTCTCTATAAAGCTCCCTCCTTCAGGCCACGCCCTTAGTCTCTCTCTAAAGCCCACTCCTTCAGGCCATGCCCTTGCTCTCTCTAACCAGGTGATCCTCTATACCTCTCACTCTCTCTAACCAGGCCATGGCCCTGCTCTCTCTCTAAGCCCTCTCTCTCTCATACTACAAACTCTCTCTCTAAGCCCACTCTATGAATACCAAGATTCATTCTCTCCATTCTCTCTCTAACCAACGCCAGCCTCTCTCTCTCTCTATGTCATGTCTCTTTCATTCTTTAAGGTTTTGCTTTACTATCTCTCAGCATTCCCCATTATCTCTCTTTTAATTTTGACAGGGCTTCGCATATTTTTTGGAAATATACACACAAGGTTGGCTTGTTCAATCTATCTGCAAGCACATAAGTAAGTTTGCAATTGGGGATTTATTGCTTTTTTCTTACCCTTTGAATTGTAGAAATATAGAACAAATTTTGTATTTGATTAAGGGAAAAGTTTATATAAGGTTGCAACTTTAAAATGTAGAGATGCACCTCAAAAATCTATCGAAAAATGTTGTTTTAATTTTGAGAAACCCTATAATTGATCATCTCGACATCGAGATGTATGAAAATGAGAAAAAGAGTTTTTGAATCCTAGAAATAATGCATCTTGCATCACATTATCTCGACCGTCCATTTTCAAGATTTTTATATATTTATAGATCTACTTGATTTTAACCATTTTTGAAATTTAAAATTTTTTAATTAGATATGAAAATAGATTTTAAGATAATCCTAACAATTTTTAGAACAAAATTATATGTTATGACAAAATTTGAGCCTTAATTGGATTGTTTAATGTAGCAACCTTATAGAAACGGTACACTTTGATTAATTGGGTTTTCGGTGGTTTGGGCTTTTATCTTTATATTCCTAAATGGTTGAGTTTTTCATAGTGAGGGATATCTGGTTTTTGGAGGTGTAGGGCATTGATTTTATGCCTTGTCGGTTGATTTGTTTTATGGGTGATCATTGTATTCTAAGCCAAAGACTGTTGGGTGTTTAATTGTTTTTATTGAGTTTGATTCATGTAATTTAGGGTGTTTTTATGAGTTATTTAGTATTTATGATTATTTAGTATATTGTGTGAGTCTTTCTATTTGATTTTGGTTGATTGAATTTGTTCATTTTCATTAGCCTATGCATTGTTTTACTATATGGATTCTCATAGATCCAAGTTTTTTGTATATTAAATTCTTAGATCACTCTTAAGATTGGATGATACAATCTAAATCTAGTTGTGGATTTATTATGAATATTTTTGTTTCTCTATTTATGAGTAAGGTACTAATCTCTATCTATTAAATGAGTTACTGATTTTATCTATTTTCATCAATTCATGCATTGTTTTGATTTTAAGAATCTCACATATCCAACATACGCATATCAAATTTTTGGTTTTGTAGGAGTAGAAGCACATGTTGATCCTCGAATAGCATAAGCACCTCTAAATACAAATCTTATCGAACTAGATTTCATCTTAAATCTAAATACTAATTCTTTTTTCCACCAAATTCATTCACACATATCCAAAATTAACATCCTCTTTTCAGGAATGTTTATTTGTTATTTGTTTCCAAACCATATGCTTCCTTCACAAAGCATTAATCTAGCCTTGAAACTTCTTTATAAGCTTATGGCTCCTTTGCTTTGGAGGGTAGGGTTTAGGGATTAAATCACAATGGCATGGGGTTCCAAAGTGTGTCATTGCATCTACTATGATTTATAGTTAGAACTAGCAAATCGTCTACCAACTTAATGTAGTGAACTATTGATTCAATATGGGCAAAGTTGCGCTACCAAAACAAGATAATTTAGTTTCCTAGATTTAACCATGTTGCTTGTTTTCATCTAATTTTCATAGTGTGAACATTACAGTTTGGAAGACTATGCTTTTGTGATTGGAACTAATATTGTGCATCTCTATTCCAATTTGGATGCATTTGGATTTTATTATAGCGTCTTCTTTATTCATACTTTACTGTTTAGATTTCCATTTGATGTTTAGCTTTGTTTCTCATCTTTTGCGAGTTATTAAAGTTC